AAAGTCCAGGGATGGCCAAGACTAGCCATTCTGACGTCCCTAATACTCTGTCCTGAGACATCAAAGGACCAGAAGATTCAGTACTCTGAATGATGCCTACTATGTGCCAGGCATTGCATTAAATATTTTACAAATATTATCACATTTGGCTACAAATAAAACCAATTTCTTGATCCTGAAAGTGGAATTAAAAGTAGTGGGGAGAGGAGAAAGAAAAGCAAAGATCTAAAATCTAAGGTGCTTTAAATTGTCTCAAACAATAGGGGAATAGCTGAATAAATTGTGGCATATTAATTCAATGAAATATTATTGAATCATAAGAAATGATATGGTTTCAGAGAATCCTGGAATTAGTTCATAATACAAATTGAGGGAGAGAGAAGTCTGCATAACCAGTAAAACAATTTATACAATGACAGCAACATTGAGAAAAACAATTTTTAAATACTTTAGAACTCTGATCAATACAATGATTAACTGTTTCCAAAGGACTGATGATGAAATGTGCTACCCATCTCTTAACAGAGAGGTGATAGACACAGAAGAGACATATTTTTACACGTGGTCATTGTGTGGATTTGTTTTACTTGATTATGCATACTACTTGTCACAAGGGTTTTTGATTTTCTCTTCTTTCTCTTGGTTTTTAGTTGGGGGGCTAGGAATTGGAGAAATTAACAATGATATCAAAAAAACTTTTAAAAGAGGTCTCTGAAGGGGCAGCCAGGTGGCACAGTGGATAGAGCACCGGCCCTGGAGTCTGGAGGACCTGAGTTCAAATCTGGCCTCAGACCAAACACTTGACACTTACTAGCTGTGTGACCTTGGGGAAGCACTTAACCCCAACTGCCTAAAAAAAAAAAACCAAAAAAAACGAGGTCACTGAAATACAAAGAACAGAACGAAGTTCAAAAGAAAGCACAGATAAGCAGAATAATTTTGAAAGTAACGTAAAATTTAGTATATGCTTTTAAAAAAGCAAGTGGTATGAAATGGAGATTCACTTCCATATAGGATTCTGTTTTTGTGTTCTGCTATGTATATGGAAATTTTTTTTGGTAAGTGCTAAGTTCAGAGTATTGTAACACTTTGTTCACTGGTGCATTATTGGTGGAGTTGTTCCAGCCATTCTAGAAAACCATTTTGAACTATTCCCCAAAGAGTTATAAAATATTTGCATACTCTTTGATCCAGCAATACTGCTACTAGGTTTATACCACAAACAGATCAAAGAAAAAGGACCCACATGAACAAAATGAGCCACTCTTTTTGTGGTGGCAAAGAATCAAAAACTGAGGGGATGTACATGGACTGGGGAATGTCTGAGCAAGTTGTGGTATATGATTGTGATGGAAGACTATTGTGCTGCAAGAAATGATGAAGGAGATGGTTTCAGAAAAAACTGGGAAAGCTTATATGAACTGATGCAAAGGGAAGTCAGAAGAACATTGCACACAGTAACAGCAACATTATAACAATGATGAACTGTGACTTAGCTACTCTGATCAATACAATGATATAAGACAGTTCTGAAGGACTTGGGATGAAAAGTGCCATCCACCTGCAGAGATGAACTCTGAGTGTGAATTGAAGTATAATTTCTTACTTTTTTTTGGGTGATATGGCTAATATAAAAATGTTGTGCATGATTTCCAATGGGTAACCAATATTATTATTACTTGCCTTCTCAATGGGCAGGGGAAAGACTGCAGGAAGGGAGAGAAATGAAGTTCAAATTTAAAAAAAATGAATATTAAAAATAGATGATAAATTTAAAGAAAAATATTTTTTAAATGGAAAAAGAAAAACCTGGGAAGACTTACATGAATTGATGCAAAGTGAAGTAAGAACTATAATAATGTACATAGTAACAGCAATATTATAGTGATAATCAACTAGGAAGGATTTAACCATTCATGGGTCTATCAATACTCCAAAGAAATCAAAGAGGAAAAGGATCCATATTTTAAAAAGATATAAAAACACATATCAGTTCTTTTCACAGCAGCCAAATATTGTAAACTAAGGGGGTACCTTCCTATTTGGGAATGACTAAACAAATTGTGGTGCATAAATATAATGGAATATTATTATGCTAGCAGAAATGATGGAACAGACAGCTCTGAGATGATGGAGAGATGTGAGCAGAATTGGAACAACTTTTTTTGGGGGGGGTGGGGAGAAAGACTTTTTTTCGGTAAATATTTTTCTTGTTTGCAAATGAGAGACAACCTAGGGTAACAGAAAGTGTGCTAGACCTGTAGCTAGGAACAGTTGGGTTCACATCCTGTTTCTAGGATTTATTAGTTGTGTGATCATAGGTAAGTCACTTAACTTCACCTTTAGTTCCTTCATCAATAAAGCAGGCATACTTATTCCTGTAGCTACTACCTACTTTACAATGTTTCTGTGAGGATCAAGTGGTATGTTGTATATAAAGTCCTTCATGAACCTTAAAGAAACAAATATCACACCATTATTCTTGCTAATAATAATAGCTAACATTTATAGAGCACTTACTGGGTGGAAGTTGCAAAGAAGCAAATATAGGCTCGACGGAAGGGAACAACTTAACAATTAGAGCAGTTTAAAAGAGTAGTCTACCTTGGGCATTAGTGGGTTGCTCCTTACTGGAGGGCTTCAAGTGAAGGCTGAATGACTCCTTGTCACAAATGCTGTAAAGAAGCTTTTGTTATCTACTGATCGACTTATATGGCTTCTGAGGTTCCTTCTAAACTCTTAACATCCTGTGACTGTGTAATAATACATTTATAAAGTTGACTTTAAAAACAAACAAGAAAATAATTTTCCATTCCTAATGGTTTATAATGGTTTTATTCAGTCTCGGTACAACAGGACAATCTGTCCCTATGTATGCTAATGGCTCTGTGCTAGCTTTATTACCAGCTGTTTAATAAAATACCAAATTAGGATTTCCTGGAAATCTTGGGACAAAGTTTGAATTCATAATTAACATGAATTTGAGCAAAGATAAAAATTTATTTCCTAGAGATTTTGCGCAAAATATTCCCCAATATATGTCCTCTCTCAGGACTGATATTCTTTAGGATACAATAGTGAGAGTGACAATAACTTTTTTTCTTAAAGGACAGATGCATTGATCCCAAATTTAAAATAATTTTGTATTCTACATCATAAGGATACCATGTCATACGGCTCATGTTATTTACAAATATTGTTATGTTTTAAAACTAGATCCTGACTTGTGTGAATATGAATCCTATTATGTAGTCACAGTATTTGAGTTCCTACTACATATTTCCATTGGGTTGGAACTACTTATGTTTTACATAATTACAACTTCAAATTGGTGCTAATTATTTAAACTAAGCAGGACCTTGCTATGAAGGTCACTTTAAAGTAACAAAGACCAATGACTGACTTTGATAGACTTAGCTCTTCTCAACAATGCAAGGATCTTAGACAACTCCAAAAGACTCCCGATGGAAAATGCTATCCACATCCAGAGAAAGAACTTTGCCGTTTTTTTTTTTTGGCTAGGCAATGGGGTTAAGTGACTTGCCCAGGGTCACACAGCTAGTAAGTGTTATGTGTCTGAGGCCATATTTGAACTCAGGTCCTCCTGAATCCAGGGCTGGTGCTCTATCCACTGTGCCACCTAGCTGCCCCTAGAACTTTGCAGTTTGAATGCAGATGGAAGCATACTATTTGTTTTCCTTTTGTTTTGTTGTTTTGTTTCTTCTTTTTTGTGGTTCTTCCCATTAGTTCTAATTCTTCTTTACATCGTGACTAATGTGAAAATATTTCATACGAATGTATAATAAGTAGAGCCTATATCAGATTGCATGCCATCTTGGGGAAGGAGGAGAAGAGGGAAGAGGAGAAAATTTAAAACTCAAAATCTTATAGAAGTGAATGTTGAAAACTAAAAATAAATAAATAATAAAGTTAAAAAAAAACAAACTATAAAACCACAGTAACAACTATGCATAATAAAGAAAAAAAAAACCCAAAATTTCACATTGTCCATGTTAAAAAAAAAGTAACAAAGATTTAGTTGAAAATAGTAATAGTAGATTCATATTTTGTAATGGCTATTTAGAATTTTCTAATTTATAACATGGTAGTATATGTGGAATCTAGTTTGGGCTATCATGGCATTTTTTATATTACACACAGAAAGATCCCATATCCAAGAAGCAATGAAATTGATACTTTGTATGCCAATAGTAATTATTTTTAAATTGATAACATCTGTCTACTTACAAGTAATTCCATTGCATTTATTAAGTTTCTAGAAGTCTCTATGTGTAAGTAGTGTTTTTGGAAGTTTTTTTTTTTAAATGAATATTATAAAAGAAACATAGCTCATCTTGTAAAATAGGATTGATTTGGATTAGCTAACATTACTTCCATCATCAGTGGTCTATGGGGAATAAAACAGGAACAAGAACTTCTTTCTATAAACAAAAGAATTGAGATCACTTTATAATGAAATTTGAAAAGTATTATTTGCTTTTCAAAGCAATAGATAACTGATGCATTTATTAAGTACTTTTTATGTGTCAGTCACTGTGCTAAGTGCTAGTGATACAAAGATAAGCAAATAAGACAGTCCCTATCTCCAATAAGTTTATTCTTTAAAAAATAAAAAAACAAAACAAAACAAAACCACTGTATTGAGATCTTTTGTTCCTGTATCAGTTAAATTTCTCCCTGTATGCCTCCCAGAGAGACATCCCATATAGCAATTTTTTAAAAAGACAAAAAGGAAGAGGAGAAAAAAAATCAGCAAAATTAATCCCACCAAACCCCTGAGAGTATTATGTACTGTTCTACAAAACAGGGACTTCCTGCCTCTACAAAAGCTGGGAGGGGATGGAGAAAGGAGAGTCTTCTCATATTTCTTTTTTAGAGTCACAGCATTATTTTTCGAGATATGATTCCAATATTGTTATCAGAAAAAAATATTGCAACAATGTATCACATCTATTCCCAATGAAAAAAGCACGCACAAATGTTATAAAACAAAGTTTATTCTGCAATACTTTATCATAATGAATTGCATCTCTTTGGTAAAAATAAACTTTATAAACATTTTAATTAACAGAGATTAGATACAAAAACTAAACATTTGTAAATTGTTTTTAAAATGAGCAAAAAACTTGGAACTGAAAATAGGTTCACTCATAACTGGTCATCTACAGGCAGAGTTATTCTACAGTCCAGGACATTCCTTATGCTACATTAGAAAACAGGATTAAGGGATAGTGTAACTCAAATTGCTTTTCTACATTTTTACTTTAAATAAATAATAATTAAAATGACTTGGCAATTGTAAATTGTTTCATATCACTATATGATGGCAACATAATACTTTTAAATTAAGTACTTTAGCTGAATAGAAACATACATTTATATTTTTAAAAAAAGTTTTGATAATGGCACTGGCAGTTAGATACAAAGAGTGTGCTTTAAAAATAATGGCAGGTATAATGCTTAAAATATTCTACTTTTCCTGTCAATAAATATTTTGACTACATCATTATTAACAAATTTGAGCAAGCTTAGCTTTAACCAAAGCTTTCCCTTTCCAGCCTAACAAAGAACTCTAGAGAAAGTTGAAAACCAGAAAGCCTCAAAATTTCAACAAATGCTATGGTCTCCACAAAATGTCAAAAAGTTGCTGTAGAATTCAAGACAATAGTCTTTAGAGCTCTGTGAAGTATCCACGTTTGTTGCTTAAATTGGCAGGAGAGACTTCCTGGTCCACCTGGTCTCACCCATTCCTCCAGAAACACTTCCTCCTACCTTTGAACTCCTGCTAAAACACAATTCAGCTGACCATTTGGTATGAACCCTTTACATAAGGTCATGAAAAGTAGCCCAAAAAGAGAAAGGAAAAAGGAAAAAAAAAAGTAAGCAAAGGATAAAATTATGCTTCCCCCCCTTTCCCAATTCCAATTACATTAAGTTTGTACTATATACAAAAAAAATTCTTTAACTTAAGAGAAGCCATGCTGGATATGGGAGGGATAGGAAAAGCTTAATGTTACAAAGCTGGAGAAAGAAGGAGATGATTCACTAAAAGAAATACTTCCTATATATACGGAAATGCTATGTTCTTTCTCTACATGTGAAAAATAAAAATGAAAGTATAACTTTTGGTAAGACATTGCACATGCAAATTAATATGTGTATATATATACATATACATATCTATATGTATATATTTAGAAGACACTGATTTCTATTTGGGATAAGAAAAATGAATACTAACTATGGCAAGTAAAAAAATTGAATAGGGGAACATTATATGGATCTTTAATACTATTTCTATTATTTTGACATATGGTAAATTATATTTGAACTGAAATCATGGTTTTTAGCCACAATGACAAAATTTCATTGTGACAAACTCCCTGGGACATTTAAGTGGTTGTTAAAATTGAACTTTGTCATAAACAAATTGCTAGACCATAAATAAATTGTACCCAGTCTATTGGGCCTAGCCATGAAACAGAGCTAACTCCCAATCTTACCAAGTAAAAAGCCCTATTTTGAACCTAGTAGAAGAAAGAGCAAATTGTAAAAATTGTGGTAATAAGCACTTGTGTTACATTTACTATCTAACAGTTATTAACTAGGGATACTAATGTCCTCTGATAATTGCATCATATATGATAAAATAAAAAAAAATCTAAGAAATATAACCTAGTTGTGCTTAAGAGCTATTTTTCATGAACAATAAATAAAATGACTACCTTCACACCCCCCCTAATTCTAATAACAAGGCCGATCAGGTCCATTTATCACTAAAATGGGTGACATTAACACAGAATGGAGAACATTTAACATTACGTATCCCTGCTTAAGGTTTCTGTGAAAGATATTTATTATTAACATGCCTCTTCTTTGAAAATTATGCCCAAACAAATTTTAAAAATTAAACAAGAGGGTTGTTGTTTTATCCCTTTTAACAATCCTAAGAGCTTGAAATTATTTGAAAGCATCAAGGCAACATAATCCTGACAAGGCAGGAAGAGGAAGGAAGTTTTTCTGAGGGAAAAAAAAATTCTACAGGGAGAATCTTAAATAAAAAGGAGATGACAGAGGACAAGGATAAACTTTTAAAAGATTTCCTTCCAAAAGCCCAGAGAGGGAAAAATTTCATTTAATAAATACTGAATTTACCTCAAATCTCTAGCTTTTTTCTGAAGAACTATAACTTCAAACCTAGAAACGCTTCTTATGTAGGTAGAATTGCTCAAATAATACTTAACTACCTCAGCCAATGGATTCATTATTAGAAGCAGTAACATCTATTAGCTAAAGATTAATGGCACATTTAGGTATTATACAGCTTTTTCCAAAGGGGTTTAATTTTTCTAATTCTGAAATATTAAGACTATGCTTATTTCACCCTGGGTTTAGATAGATTTTCCAAAATTACCTATCATTACTTAACTGTAAACATTCAAAACTTTTATTCATATAGACTACATGTTCCTAAAGGGCAAGTATTGCTTCCTTTTTTTGTCTTTATATCTCTAGTGCCTGGCACATAGTAGGCATTTAATTGTTGAACTGAACCAAATTCTAGATCACACTCCATTCAAATTATAATGATTATAATTTGAAATTGTAACTGTTCCTGTGGAGACAAGAAAATATGAGGGAGAGAACAGAATCTCTCATTGCAAAGGTCTGCCAAAAATGAAGATTATTATATACTATCATTTCATTGGCTATCTGCTATATGAAGAGAACTTAATGGTTAACAGAGAACTGACCAACTAATTACTGATTTAAAGCACTTAGGGTAAAAGCAAAAGTGCCCCCAATAAAGTCTACATAACAATAGATAAGCCAAATAATTTCAAAAGATGATGTTATAAGAGACATGGCGTAGACTTAGAAATTACATTAAAAATCAAGTTTTCCCATTTTCTACTTGTATAAACAGAACTTTCTAGCAATCATTCTAGTTTAGCTACCTAAGATCTTTTCACATATAACTTTTTCCCCCACTTGGTTCATGTCTCAACCAGCATTCACTAAAATATATATCTATTCTACATTGGTGAATAAAATAAGCAGAGTAAAAGGGAAAATACCATTTTAAGCCAATTCATCCACTGTATTCAATGGTTTAAAAAGAATGGAAAAATTGCTATACTGAGTGGCAAGTTAAACCATTTTACTACATCAACAGAAGATATTTATGTGGGAAAGATTTTGTCTACAATCTTAAGAGGGAGCCTGAGGATTTCTCTGTGGAAGTTCCCCAAATCTCTGAATCCATGATTAGAAGAAGTATGCTATTAGCACTTCAATCATGCATTGATTGGCCCAATCTTAGGTAAGCATAACCCTAATTGCAGTGATTAAAAAAAAAGTGTAAAGGAAAAAAGGTAATTAGCACACTCCCCACCCCCCACCCTACCTCCCAGCTATAGAAGTCCATTATGGCTTTGATCTCCCTTGTGAAGAGAAAGTAGAAGAGTATTGCCACATTTAAAAAAAAAAATAATCACACTATCTGGTATTACTACTTTTTCCTTTGCTTTTGGATCTTTGCAGTACTTATCAGGGAACCCAGACACGTGCGGATTCCAGCAAGGTGCAGCAGAGATCCAGCCGCCTCTTTAAGCTCCTCATCAATTTCCTGACATGACTCCCTTTTAGGCTTCTTGATGGGCTGGTCTTTGTCAGAGGTATTTGCACAAGGCTGTGATACATAGCCACTGTCTCCAAGAGGGTCATCTTCATAGTCAATGTCTGTATCTTCTTCACTGTGAAACCCTTCACTGCCATCACTTCCTGCAAGGTTATTCTTTGGGATAAACTCATACGCCTCATCAACAGAAGATAAGGAAGACACACTGGATCTGGACGCACAACGCTGCGTTGCTATGCTGCTCGCACTGTAATTGTGATCCTCCTTTGGATCAATATTGTTGACTGCAGAATCACTCTCTTGTAAATTTATGGCACTGGGATGGCTAAATGCACTAACAAAACTCCTTTTCTTCTGTAAAGCCGTTTTGAGTGGCAGGGGCTTCTCACCTGCATAAAATGAAGTTCAATCAATGAATAAAACATTTACCTCAACATGAAGAGCTATTACATATACAAGATTTTCTTGTTGAGACAACTATACTACTTGGATTTACACAGCATCTTTCCTCAGCAGAGCTATAGATTATCTAAAATTGTACTTAATCTTCTCAAAATGCTGGTAATTTCACCATTTTATTGGTACATCTGAAAATTTCAGCGCTGTAGAGTACAAAAGGCAGTAGATTTTGGAGTCAAAGGACATAGGTTTGTTAGCTTGGTTCTACTACGTGTAACCTTCCTTGCATGGGAGAGTCATGCATGGGCCCAACTTTCTGGGTTTTAGTTTTCTCAAATGAAAAATAAAGGTGTGGGACTAAGGTGATTAAATCCTTTGACCTATTATAAAATTAATGTTGCATGCAAACACAGTTTGCTTTAACCAAGAACACAGAGCAACAGGAATCCAAGGTCATAAAAATAAAACCATTAAACACTCATAGTCTAATAAAAAAATATTCAAAAGTTCAAAATGTTTTGTAGCAAAAAGATAAAATTTATTTCTTACATTCTAAAATTCCTTGTTCAATGGATGTATTTAAAAGCATCATTGCAGTGGCTGCATCAATATCAGATTCTGTAATGAGAAAAGTTAATATTAGTAACACTTGAGATATTCTGTTAAAGAATATTTTTTGAAAGGTGACACTTGTATTTATAAATTTCAAACTACTGAAGCTTGTGTTTAACCTTTAATACTGATCTCTGATCACAAGCTAGAACAAAATACAAAGTACCAGCTTTCAAGCTTCCAGTTTTGGGGAAAGCCCAGGACACAAGTCCAAGAATTAGTTTCTGCAAACTTCCCTGCTCAAACAGTCAAGTGTGTAAAACTAATGAAGTTGTCCATGACAACCTTTTGCTATGAATAATGTTCTTACCCACAAATACTAAAATTATTTAAAGACTTGAAGTCAGAAAGACCTGGATCAGAATCCCAACTCAGGCCTTCAGCGGTTCTGTGTCCTTGGGCCAATTAATCTTTCTGAACCTCAATTTCCACATTTTTAAGACAGAAATGATGACACATACTTCACATGGTTTTTGTTGTTGCTCAGTCATGCTCGACTCTTTGTAACCCCATTTTTTTTTTTTTTTTTGCAAAGATACTGGAATGGCCATTTCCTTCTCTAGCTCATTTTATAGACGATGAAACCGAGGCAAGCAGGATTAATTGACTAGCCCAGGGTCACACAGCTAATAAGTGTCTGAGGCCAGATCTGAACTCAGGCAAGATAAGTCTTCCTAATTCCAGGTTCGCCACTCTATTCACTGTGCCACCTAGCTGTCTGCTGCACAAGGTGGTGAGGCTCAAATGTGATCATGTATGTAAAGTAGTTGGTATACTTAATATGGTGTAGAAAGCTCAGGTATCATAAGCATCATGTATCAGTTATAATGGCTACACAAAAAGAGACAATCAACAAGCAATTATTAAATGCTTATATGTATGTGACAGGCATGTGATAAGGACAGAGGTACAAAAAAAGAAAAAAAAATAATCCTTGCCCTCAAAGAGCTAACATTTAACAATGTGTACAGAAATAGGTGCATGCAAGACACTTACATAACAGATGGAGAAGGAAAGCCAAAGAACAACAAATAGATGGGAAATACAATTGGTCAACCTATGCTTTATGAAGCCACAAGATAAAAGGTGACAACATAAAAAACATTAGTTCAATAGCAATGTCTTTTCACATAACTACAAATGTAGCTTTGTATAGGAGCATGCATAAAATGATAAACCATTGCAAAATTAGTTGTCTCTGTAAGAAAGAATGCTATTATAATCTTAGGTCTATTTATATATTCAATGAAACACTTATTTAGTGCCTATTATGTGTAAGTTATTATACTAGATATCAAGGATTACAAATATGAGAATCTGTAATCTATCAGAAAAGAAGAAATGTGTACATAAATTATAATATGACAGAGAATGGAATACGTACAAGTACATGCAAAGTGCTAGTTCATTAGTACCAAAGAGCTGCTGTGGCACTAAAGGGGACTGCATCATTGTTAGTGAAGCACGGCAGTGGAAGTAGTCCAGAAATCACTGAAATGAGAGCATTCCCTGAATTGCCTAATAAAAAATGAGGAATAAGGAGTAGGGATCGAAGAAACCTAACTCTAATTGTGCCACAGCATAAAAGTGGCTGGGATGGGGAGATGTCTGGTCTTTGAGGCAATTAAACCTTAGCAAATAAGCATTCTAAGGACTGGAGACCAGTCAAACTAGACTTCATCAGTTCACATCAGTAATCAGCCTACTCAAGACAACTGTTCACCTTAAAAAGTGAAGTGAAGGAATCTATAAAAGATCAGGTAAGGCAAAACAATTATTTCATATTATATGATTTCAACTTGAAACAAGATTCAAGTATAGGAAACCTTCCACTCTTCCATTTTTCTTCAATATGGTAAGATGAAATTTAAAGGGTAATAAAAAAATTATGATCACTTTATCTATTCCAAAGTTCTTGCAGAGAAATTAAATCTTAAACTGTAATGGCCAGCCTTACTAATTTGATAAAGATGACAGGATCGAACAATTCAACAGTAATTATCATTAGACAACATACAATTCTCTTCCTAAAAGTTTTATCTATCAAGTAAAATTTTATAACTTTAAACAAGAATTTGAATTAAACTTATACCTTGATGAACAAATATTATGAATTAAAATGAACTAAAGGAAAGATAATGAATATCAAAAAACACCAGAAACAAAACTGAAAGTATTTATAAACCATGTCAACTTGGATAAATGCAATGAAGAGAAAAATAAAATAAGCAAACAACAAAGGAGAATATGATGACAAAACACAACAATTTAGAAAATACCTATGGTAAACATAAACAATGAATTATGAGGTAAAACTGCTTTGCTGGAATGTAATCAAAATGACCCATTTTGCATTTCATAATGTTCTCTATCTCTTGTTTGGTCATAAATTGGGATGAGTTCTTCTGCAAATGGGAATTCTAAAAGAATAGAAGACTAAGAAATGGTGGGAGTATGCCAGCAGTTGAGAAATGAGTCCAGGCAGAGTATCAGAGGACCCAATTCCTTCAACCAATACACATCCAGTCACTCTTCTCCAGTCACTCTTCAGTTTATCAATGTCCTTCCCAAAATATCAGAACATAGTACTCCAAATGTGGCCTGAACAAGATACCACATAATAGGACCATTGCTTTCTTACTCCTGGGTGCCGCGTGTCTATTTAATACAGCCGAAGACAGTAGTTCTTTAAATCCTCTAAATCTTTTTCAGACAAACTATTTTAAAACTATGCCTCCTCATCTTGTATTTGGGAAGTTGATTCTGTTAACTGTAGGCCTTTGCATTTAACTCTTACCACATCCATGGGCACAACACTGGAGACCTCCTTCCAAGCTGATATGAAAACATTAACAATGTCTAGCTGAAATTCCCTATCTTTTCTATACCATAAGAGATATGTATATGAGAAAGAGAGAGAGAGAGAGAGAGAGAGAGAGAGAGAGAGAGAGAGAGAGAATGAGAGTAGTGCTAGGTCCTGATTAGTGTGAATAATGAATTCCACCCCCCCCAAAAAAACCAAATGAATTCACACAGCATATATCCATTGAGCAAACGAACAAATTACTATTTCACATAATTATAATTCAAATACATATGATCGCTCCGGAGATTTCCTGCTTCTCTGTCTAGATACTCACTGAACACATCTTTAATAATACGTTCTAGAATTTTGGCGGCTCCATTTGTTTCCCTTGTTTTCTGAAATAAGGACACACTTGCCCTTCTCCAATCCTACCACATTTTCCCCATCCTCACTGATCTTTCAAAGATACCTGGTAATAGCTCAGAAATCACATTTGCCAGTTTGTTTAGCACCTAGGATATATAGGATCACAGAGTGAGAGTGGAAAAGGACCATAAATGTCCAAACTTTTTTACAGACGAGGAAGAAGAGGCTCAGAGAAGCTAAGAGACTTATCCAAGGTCACAGATTATAAGGGTTGGAGGATATTTACGAACCCAGTCCAGCATCTGGAGTGACAGACCATGAGTTTGTTCACTTGAGTCAGGAAACTTAAATTCATCAAGGTTGCCTAGGTTTTCTCTTACTTTATTTCACTACGTATGTTGGGTATCAACTCCCTATCAATCATTTTTGCTCTGTCCTTTCAAATAACCCAAAGACTATCTTCTATGAAGAGAAAAATGAAGGAAAAGAAGAGTTGAACTGTTTTCTCTGTCGGTTGTCATTTTCCTATCTACCCTAAGCAGTGACCTTCCTTCCCTTTCTTCATCCCATCTAATTCCTCCAATATAGCCTAAAAAAAAAAATCGTTTTGTCATTCTTAACTTTTCCTACCTTTTTAGTTCATGCTCAGACTTAGCACTCAACACTAATCTCACAGTCTTGTGTCAGGCTATTGCATTGATCCTCTGTTGTCTTTCTATGCTTGCATTTTCTCTGTTTTTTTTTTTTTTTAATTTAAGTTGATTGGACTATAGTAATCTACTGTTTGATAAATCCAAAGACTCCAGCTTCTGGGATAAGAACTCACTATTTGACAGAAACTGCTGGGAAAACTGGAAAATAGCATGGCAGAAACTAGGCACAAATCAATCTTACACCATATAACAAGATAAAGTCAAAATGAGTACACAATTTAGACATAAAAGGTGATACTCTAAGCAAATTAGGGGAACAAGGAATAGTTTAAGTTTATCTATCAGAGCTATGGAGAATGGAAGAATTTATGACCAAACAAGAGATATCATTTTAATTACATTAAATTAAAAAGTTTTTGCACAAATAAAGCCAACGCAACCAAGATTAGAAAGGAAGCAGAAAGCTGGGAAACAATTGTTATAGTCAGTATCTCTGATAAAGGCCTCATTTCTAAAATATATAGAGAACTGAGTCAAATTTATAAGAATATAAAAGTCATTCCCCAACTGATAAATGATCAAAGGAAATGAACAGGCAGTTTTCAGATGAAGAAACTGAAGCTATCTATAGTCATGTGAAAAAATGCTCTAAATCATTTATTGATCAGAGAAACACAAATTAAAACAACTCTGAGATGTTGTATCACAGCTATCAAATTGGCTAACAAGACAAAATAGGAAAATGATAAATGTTGGAGAAGATGTGGGAAAATTAGAATACTAATGCATTGTTGGTAGAGTTGTGAACTGATCCAACCATTCTTTTTTTTTTTGGCTAGGCAGTGGGGTTAAGCGACTTGCCTAGGGTCACACAGCTAGTAAGTGTTATGTGATCCAACCATTCTGGAAAGCAATTTGGAACTATGCCCAAAGCTATAAAACTGTGCATACCCTACTATGTCTGTATCGCAAAGAGATCATAAAAAAGGGAAAAGGACCTACATGTACAAAAATATTCATAGCAGTTCTTTTTGTGGTGGCAAAGAATTGGAAATTGAGGGGATGCCCATCAATTGGGGAATGACTTAACAAGTTGTGGTATATGAATGTAATGGAATACTATCACACCATAAGAAATGATGAGCAGGTAGATTTCAAAAAAACCTGGAAAGCCTTACATG